ATCCATCCATCATCCATCCATCCATCATCCATCCATCCATCATCCATCCATCCATCATCCATCCATTCATCTTCCATCCATCCATCATCCATCCATTCATCATCCATCCATCATCCATCCATCCATTCATCATCCATCATCTGACCATTCATCATCCATCATCCATCCATTATCCAACCATTCATCATCCATCCATCCATCCATCATCCAACCATTCATCATCTATCCATCCATCCATCCAACCATTCATCCATCCATCCATCCATCCATCCATCATCCATCTTCCAGCTCCTCTGGAGAAATCTCAAGGCATTCCCAGGCCAGCCTACCAGTTCTTCCAGCATGTACTGGGTCTTCCTCTGTGTCTTCTGCAGTGGGACATGACCAGAATGCCTCACCACACCTTTCTTTCCCTTAAATTCAAATGCCTAGGTCATTGCTGACTGGTAATCTTCCAGATTCTTCCAGTTGAAAATGTTTCAAACACAGAACACGGTACGGTGATGGAGCAATAAAGTCAGCCCATTTGACTTGAAGAAACTTTACCCAGGTCTTCTGAAGAGTGTAGTTTTTGGGGGGATAATGGACATTAGCTGCCTCCTGGGGTGTATTACAGCAGAGCTGGGCGACACCTGACTTAATGAGAAAGATAAGTTGATGCTCCTTATAAGTCTGTGTCTGGCCATATGTGGAGTGAAACTGCTTGAAAACTCACTCAAAATCATTTTTAAGACAATTTAATTTTTAAAGATTTTCAGTAAAACATACCAGTTTTTAATGTCTCTATCAGATTTTGATGGATATGCAATTTGAAAACATGGTGGGTGTTGGAATTTAACATCTGTTTTAGTTCCAGGTTGTAAAGCAACAAAAACAAGAATACAAAGTGGTGAGGGAAAACTTTTGTGTTATATCATTCATTTATCTGTTGTTTGTCCATTCAGCTGATGTTGGAGGTGGTACTGAGAAAAAACCCAAAGTGGAGCTGACAGAGGTTGAACTGCGAGCCCACCTGCACAATGGCACTCTGGGAAAGCTGACGGTTCCTCTGCTGAAGGAGGCCTGTAGGCAGTTTGGGATTCGGACCACCGGAACAAAGAAGCAGGAGCTTATAGATGCTCTGACTGCGAAGTTAGGTTCATGAGGACTCAGGGTTCAGACTCGAGTTCTTTTCACAGACCAGGTTCTGGTGGGTTCAGTTGGTCTGCAGGACACAAAGGTGTTCAGGTCTTATTATGGTTTATGATGGGCTACAGCTTTAATCAGATTGTGCTCATTTCACTTTGCATATGGGTGATTCTATAATTGGAGATACATTTCGCACTTTGAAAAATGAAAGAAAAAAGTGTTAATTTCCAATAATTTTTTCAGGTATTTTACTGAAAATATGTTAAACTTTGATAATTTGCTGTTTGTCAAACATTATTTTTACCTTTTATTAGGAAAAATTTGTAGGATACAGTTCGATACGTCAACTCTGTTACAGACAACATGGACAATGTTTTGAAAAAACAATATATTCTAACAGGCTAAATTCTCTTCATTTTATTACATAAACTGTCCTAATATAATACTGCTTCAAACTAATGTGTTTAATTTCAAAATACATTTAAAATATGGCAAAAACATTTAACTATTTACTGAATTGTTTTTATAGGAGCAAACATTCCTTATTAAAACTCATAAAATACCAATGGTTATTTAAAAAAAACAATTGTGCTCATAATACTGTAATACAGACAAAGTCAACCAGCAATGTATAGAATATTAAAAACAATGATTTTCTTTTTTGTGTGTGTAAAAACTTTTAATAAACAGAGTTGACCTTAGTAACAGAATAGACAGGACAATAACAGTTTCTTAACATTTCATCATAGTTGGATTTAGAAAGCAAAAAAACAATTAATTCAGGTAAGAAAAACCGAGATTTAAGTTTAAGTTTTTTAACCATCTAGAAGTCTGGTTTGACTTTGAGACCTCTGAAATTTGTTCTGGGTCGTCTTCTTTTTTCCTGCGCTACACTTCTAGCTCTGCTTGCAGCCAGTGCTCTTCTCCAGTATCTTTGCTTTCTTCTCCTCTCTCTTGGTGTTAGGTCTGCCACCAGCCTGAAGGCCTGCCACACTAGACAACTTATGAACATTTTAAACAGTGTTATATAAAGTACCACAAAGTGATACTTGAGTAAAAGTACAAGTATCTTACCAAAAAATTACTTTGGTAAAAATTAAAGTCTCCTTTAGGAATATTATTTAAGTAAAAGTCTTAAAGTATGAACTTAAGTATTAAAAATAAAAGTAACGATTTAAAATGAGCAGTTAGATTTTCTGTAAGGACATTTATTAGGAGGTGACCTCCCCAAAAACTGCAGAAATGACTGTTGTATTAAAAGAATGAATGGATGTTAAATTTAGGATGCACTAGTCCAGCTGTTTCAGTTTATATACATATATCAAGGCTGCACAAAGCTTTTCCCCAAAATGAAAATCTATCTGAGGGCTGCGGCCAAATGTAAGAATATAATTCATGAAATACAAATACTTCTTAAGTACAGTCCTTTTATTTTAATGATTATGTCCTGCTGGAGTGTGACATAATTTGTTTGTGTAATCAGAGTTTTATATATTTATACTTCTCATTCAAACACAGTTAAATTCACTCTATCTAGGAGGCTCAGTTTATATGGATAGTTTTTATTTTTTACAATAACAAGCAAAAATGAAATAAAAGTAACAACTTTCTACTTTGGGCCTTTTTAAAAAATGTAAGGAGTAGAAAGTACAAATAACTGTGTGAAAATGTTAGAAGTAAAACGTAGGCTGAAAAATAGTTACTCAAGTGAAGTACAGATCCCAAAAATTCTACTTAAGTACAATAAAGAAGTATTTGTACTTGGCTACTTTACAACTCTGATTTTAAAGACATCTACATATAAGATGGAATTGAAAAAATTAACAGGAAGCTTCTTTTCAGTGTTTACATAATGTAATTCGAACAAATATGTCAAATATATAACTTTTATTAACAATTTAGACATAAAAACTGTTTCGTAAGTTGGCATAAGTTGTCTCGTGTGACAGGGCCTTGATTCTTCCCAACTCTTTGTTGCGTTTCCATTTCTCCCTGTCCTTTGTTAAACCCTCCTCTCTTCTGTCTGTATTGGCATCTCGTCTAGCTCGATCTTCTTTGTTTCTCAGCAGCTGAGAGTGGCATATCTACAGTAAAAATGTAGGTTATATTAAACACAGTATTGTAGTGTGTCAGTAATTACTTTAAAATGTATTTATTTAATTGTTTCATCCATACATACACGTATTAAATTGTTCTCATTAATGTAATTACTACTCAATAGTTGCATAATGTCAACTCTGTTACTTTACCTTGGTAACAGAGTTGATAATTTCAAACATTTCTGTTAAAAACTCCACTTGCTAGCATAAATGCTAAAAGCACACATCACCAATAAAATCGTTTAAAAACCTTTAGATAAAACATCTATTTGTTAAAAATCAGTAGTGTTTTTCTTATGATATTACGGTAACAAGATTGACATCTAAAAAAATTACACTTGGTTTTAACGCTTTTCAAATTGAAATAATTTCTCAGAGAAGAGCAGACATACGAGATCCTATCAGTAAAAGGAAGTGACGTCATTTCATTTAGTTTACAGGTGCTGGTCATAAAATTAGAATATCATGAAAAAGTAGATTTATTTCAGTAATTCCATTTAAAAAGTGAAACTTGTATATT